CACCACAGCAAGCAGGCAAAGCACACGGCACGCAAACTATATATAGCCTATTTGTTTTTTCTTAGTTAAACCCGAACCCGAGGCTGTTCATTAAACATTAACCCGAACCCGACCCGAAACCCGCACATTTTTCGGGACCCGTCGGGCTCGGGTCGGGTAGCAGACCTCTAACACACACACACACACACACACACACGACAGCTGACAGTAACACACTCCTAAAGCGCCACCAACAGGTCAAACACACACACACGACAGCTGACAGTAACACACTCCTATAGCGCCACCAACAGGTCAAACACACACACACACACACACACACGACAGCTGACAGTAACACACTCCTATAGCGCCACCAACAGGTCAAACATACACACACACGACAGCTGACAGTAACACACTCCTATAGCGCCACCAACAGGTCAAACACACACACACACACACGACAGCTGACAGTAACACACTCCTATAGCGCCACCAACAGGTCAAACATACACACACACGACAGCTGACAGTAACACACTCCTATAGCGTCACCAACAGGTCAAACACACACACACACACACACGACAGCTTACAGTAACACACTCCTATAGCGCCACCAACAGGTCAAACACACACACACACACACACGACAGCTGACAGTAACACACTCCTATAGCGTCACCAACAGGTCAAACACACACACACACACACACGACAGCTTACAGTAACACACTCCTATAGCGCCACCAACAGGTCAAACACACACACACACACACACACACGACAGCTGACAGTAACACACTCCTAAAGCGCCACCAACAGGTCAAACACACACACACGACAGCTGACAGTAACACACTCCTAAAGCGCCACCAACAGGTCAAACACACACACACACGACAGCTGACAGTAACACACTCCTATAGCGCCACCAACAGGTCAAACATACACACACACGACAGCTGACAGTAACACACTCCTATAGCGCCACCAACAGGTCAAACACACACACACACACACACACACACACGACAGCTGACAGTAACACACTCCTATAGCGCCACCAACAGGTCAAACATACACACACACGACAGCTGACAGTAACACACTCCTATAGCGTCACCAACAGGTCAAACACACACACACACACACACGACAGCTGACAGTAACACACTCCTATAGCGTCACCAACAGGTCAAACACACACACACACACACACGACAGCTGACAGTAACACACTCCTATAGCGTCACCAACAGGTCAAACACACACACACACACACACGACAGCTTACAGTAACACACTCCTATAGCGCCACCAACAGGTCAAACACACACACACACACACACACGACAGCTGACAGTAACACACTCCTATAGCGTCACCAACAGGTCAAACACACACACACACACACACGACAGCTGACAGTAACACACTCCTATAGCGCCACCAACAGGTCAAACACACACACACACACACACACACGACAGCTGACAGTAACACACTCCTATAGCGCCACCAACAGGTCAAACACACACACACACACACGACAGCTGACAGTAACACACTCCTATAGCGTCACCAACAGGTGAAACACACACACACACACACACACACACGACAGCTGACAGTAACACACTCCTATAGCGCCACCAACAGGTCAAACACACATAGCGCCACCAACAGGTCAAACACACACACACACACACACGACAGCTGACAGTAACACACTCCTATAGCGCCACCAACAGGTCAAACACACACACACACACACACGACAGCTGACAGTAACACACTCCTATAGCGCCACCAACAGGTCAAACACACACACACACACACACGACAGCTTACAGTAACACACTCCTATAGCGCCACCAACAGGTCAAACACACACACACACACACACGACAGCTGACAGTAACACACTCCTATAGCGCCACCAACAGGTCAAACATACACACACACGACAGCTGACAGTAACACACTCCTATAGCGTCACCAACAGGTCAAACACACACACACACACACACGACAGCTTACAGTAACACACTCCTATAGCGCCACCAACAGGTCAAACACACACACACACACACACGACAGCTGACAGTAACACACTCCTATAGCGTCACCAACAGGTCAAACACACACACACACACACACACGACAGCTTACAGTAACACACTCCTATAGCGCCACCAACAGGTCAAACACACACACACACACACACGACAGCTGACAGTAACACACTCCTATAGCGTCACCAACAGGTCAAACACACACACACACACACACACGACAGCTTACAGTAACACACTCCTATAGCGCCACCAACAGGTCAAACACACACACACACACACACGACAGCTGACAGTAACACACTCCTATAGCGCCACCAACAGGTCAAACACACACACACACACACACGACAGCTTACAGTAACACACTCCTATAGCGCCACCAACAGGTCAAACACACACACACACACACACGACAGCTGACAGTAACACACTCCTATAGCGCCACCAACAGGTCAAACATACACACACACGACAGCTGACAGTAACACACTCCTATAGCGTCACCAACAGGTCAAACACACACACACGACAGCTTACAGTAACACACTCCTATAGCGCCACCAACAGGTCAAACACACACACACACACACACGACAGCTGACAGTAACACACTCCTATAGCGTCACCAACAGGTCAAACACACACACACACACACACACACGACAGCTTACAGTAACACACTCCTATAGCGCCACCAACAGGTCAAACACACACACACACACACACGACAGCTGACAGTAACACACTCCTATAGCGTCACCAACAGGTCAAACACACACACACACACACACACGACAGCTTACAGTAACACACTCCTATAGCGCCACCAACAGGTCAAACACACACACACACACACACGACAGCTGACAGTAACACACTCCTATAGCGTCACCAACAGGTGAAACACACACACACACACACGACAGCTGACAGTAACACACTCCTATAGCGTCACCAACAGGTCAAACACACACACACACACACACGACAGCTGACAGTAACACACTCCTATAGCGTCACCAACAGGTCAAACACACACACACACACACACGACAGCTGACAGTAACACACTCTTATAGCGTCACCAACAGGTGAAACACACACACACACACACACACACACGACAGCTGACAGTAACACACTCCTATAGCGTCACCAACAGGTCAAACACACACACACACAACAGCTGACAGTAACACACTCCTATAGCGTCACCAACAGGTCAAACACACACACACACACACACGACAGCTGACAGTAACACACTCCTATAGCGTCACCAACAGGTGAAACACACACACACACACACACGACAGCTGACAGTAACACACTCCTATAGCGTCACCAACAGGTCAAACACACACACACACACACACGACAGCTGACAGTAACACACTCCTATAGCGTCACCAACAGGTGAAACACACACACACGTCAGCTGCTTCTGGAATCAGTCGAGAAGAAAGGGGAACGTTTGATGAAAAACTCGGTAACACTTTATTTTACAGTGTCCTTGTTACATATGTCACATGTACTTACCATAGTAATAACAGTAAATTGTGCATAATTACATGCAACTAACCCTCAACCAAACCCTAATAATCCTGCCCTAACCCTATAGTAAGCACATGTAGTTAATTAATATCACTCAGTACTTAAATATATAATTACACTGTAATAATGACACTCTCATGTGTTTCTGACGGCTTAGATTTACCAAGATCCCAAAATCAATCATAAGTCAGAACTCGAACGTTTCTCATCAAATGATCTGAGCAAATGAACCATTTTATAGTTCTGCTTTTACTGTATGACAACTATTTGTTTCATAATTGATGAACTTTGACAGTTTTTGAACTGAATTGAATCAACATTGATCTGAAATGGATGAATAATGACACTATTGCTTGAAACATGGACAGGTTTTTACCGTGTGAAAGTGTTGATGTCTGAGGCTCATGAGTCCTCTGAACTTCACATTCTCCTGCAGTGCGGCGCCAGTGAAAACACAGCGTTCTCTGGAAACACAACGTGTCCGAATTCCTGAGAATGAAAACACTGAGACTGACTAAATGTCGAAACTGGACGTCTTAAAAACATCCCAGATCTCATCTAGACTCACTCATACGAGTCCCGGTGACAGAAATGAAGTAAACATGACCGTTCAGGTGTCCTCAAAAGCAAACATTTGAGTTTTAGTGTTACACTTTATTTTAAGGTGTCATTATTACAGTGTAATTATATATTTAAGTACTGAGAAATAATAATTAACAACATGTGCTTACTATAGGGTTTGGTTGAGGTTGCATGTAATTATGCATAATTTACTGTTAGTATATGTAACATACAGTCAAACCAAAAATTATTCAGACACCAGATATAATTTTTTATATTTTTTTTACTAGTGTGTGTGCAGGACACTATAGTTCATTTATGTAAGTGAGGAGAGCAAAATAAAGTAAACTGACATATTATACACAAATATTCTTCCTCCACTTTGAGGTGATCATGTTTTCTTCAGTGTGTTTTCTGTAATTGCTAATGCTATTTTTACACACAGACTGAACAACATGAAGCATTGCTTGGTCACTGGTTGAGCTAAACTGGTATTATCTAATTGTGTGGTTAAATTTAACAGCTGACAGATATTCAACATAACTCATGTGTGAGAGTCTAACAGAAGGACGGACTAAACCAGTCAAATATCCACTGAGTTCATAACTCTCCATTTTCTAAACTATAAAGTGTTACAGTTTTAGTTACTGATAATAAGGCTGGAAAGCTGGTGCTGATGAACTTGAGAAAGAACGCAGACTGATCAAACACACAGATTGTCTTGAGTTTAATGACTTCCAGATGAAACACACATTCCAGCCTGTCAAAGAAGGAGGAGAAACAGGGAGTATGTTGAAGGAAGAGGGACAACAGTCTCTCTCTCTCTCTCTCTGTGATCTTCTGTTTATTTACAGTTTCTGGTGGCGGTCAGAAGAGGAGGAACAGAATGACGGTCCTCCAGGTTCTGCTGATGTGTCAGATGTCCATCACAGCCTCCCTGCACTGGAGGAAAGGTAACACTCGTTCTTTATCTCATCACATCACTCACACACACACACACATCACTGTTCACAGAGAGCATGAGCACTCGTACGGATTGCTCTTAAAAGCTTCTGCTTACATGCTTGAATTCGATTTGTGGACATATATATATTGTGCATAAAAGTTGAGAAGCATCTGAGATTAAAAAATAAATAAATGCATGTCTCCTGAGCTGTGGATGAGAAACATTTGATCAACACGTTTTGCTTTCAGAATCCATATTGCATTAGAGCTGAATATGTGACTATTAACATTGTCTTTTATATAAAATAAGCTCGTTTCCGCCACAGAATACATTTTTTTTTAAAGATAATTGCGACTTTTTATCTCACAATTCTGTCTTTTCTCTCGCAATTCTGACTTCACATACTTTGTAAAAAAAAAATGTATTCTGTTGCGAAAACAAGCTTCCATATGAAACAGCATTGTGAACTTTTATAAAGATGCTCTTGGTCATTATGCTGTGACAAGATGATTGACAGGACAGTTTAAACTGTGACAGGAAGTCCTAACTAAACGACAGGGCGTCTGTTAAAGACACATTTATGCTGAAGAAGCTTGCCTACTATTCTGCTATACACACTCAAAAGTATGTACTTTTAGGGCATAGTATAAGTAGGTGATTTGGGATGCAGCGAAGCGCTCGACCAATCACAACACACCGCTCCAGCTAACCAATCACAACACACTGCTCCAGCCGACCAATCACAACACACTGCTCCAGCTGACCAATCACAACACACTGTTTCAGCTGACCAATCACAACACACTGCTCCAGCGGACCAATCACAACACACTGCTCCAGCCGACCTATCACAACACACCGCTCCAGCCGACCAATCACAACACACCGCTCCAGCCGACCAATCACAACACACTGTTCCAGCTGACCAATCACAACACACTGCTCCAGCCGACCAATCACAACACACTGTTCCAGCTGACCAATCACAACACACTGCTCCAGCCGACCAATCACAACACACCGCTCCAGCCGACCAATCACAACACACTGCTCCAGCCGACCAATCACAACACACTGCTCCAGCTGACCAATCACAACACACTGTTCCAGCTGACCAATCACAACACACCGCTCCAGCGGACCAATCACAACACACTGCTCCAGCCGACCAATCACAACACACCGCTCCAGTCGACCAATCACAACACACCGCTCCAGCCGACCAATCACAACACACCGCTCCAGCCGACCAATCACAACACACCGCTCCAGTCGACCAATCACAACACACCGCTTCAGCCGACCAATCACAACACACCGCTCCAGCCGACCAATCACAACACACCGCTCCAGCCGACCAATCACAACACACCGCTCCAGCCGACCAATCACAACACAGCGCCGTTTGGTTGAATGAATGAATGAATGGATGAATGAATGAGGCATTTATATGCCTCATTCATTTTGGTTGGGATTATATGAGTGACAGCTGTAGGAACTAACAGAGATGTTTAATTACTTTAATCAGCCAATGAGTTTCCAGGTACAGGTGTTAATGACACAAACTGAGAGCTTTCCTGAGAAACAAATAAAGGACGTTCATCGGCTCTTTCACAGCTGACAAAAATATGTTCTAAGAACGTTTTGTTGACGTTCTCGTTAAGTTATGAAAATGTAATTTTCTGAATGTTCTATGAACATTTAAAACGTCCAGTTTAAGGGAATATGTTTTATCATTCTGCAAACTTTATGAACGTTACTTTTGAATGTTCTCTGAAACATTTATAAAACGTTCGACGAACATCCAACTGAAACGTCTCAGAAAAGAATGTTTTTGTGCAAACGTTTTGAGAACATTATTATCTTTGAAGGAACATATAGTTACTGTAAGAACGCTTGTTAAACTTTTAAAGAACGTTCCCTTAAGAAATAGGTTGTTGGTTCTTTTTTAGATTAAAGGTCTGTTACATTTGAAGTTCTTTCAGTGTTTTTAAGAGAATAATTCACACTAATATTGTTCAAAACCTGCATGACTTTCCCTGAATGAGATTTGAGAGCTTCAGATGACTTGGAATGACAATGAGTGATATTGATGACTTTTAAAATAATTTTATGGTGCTTATAAAGTGACACTGACACCAATTAGTATTTTTAAGTCACACTTTAAAATGCTTTTGAAATATATAAACTCAGATGATGCTCAAGATCTAACTTCACTTTCTGAGCCGCATTTCAATTGCCTTTGTCTTATTTTCAGTGCATATGTTTTGCTATGCCACGGTTTCATATTTTTGTCACGTGATCCTTAAAAAATCATTCTAATATGTGTGTGTGTGTGACAGAGAAAGTGTTTGTGTGTGAGAGAGAGAGTGTATGTGTGTGTGTGCGCGTGCGTGTAGCATAACACTTTGTTTATTCTTATCTTTGAAGACATATTCTAACCACTTTGCCTTTCAGTTCCGAATATATAACATGCACATATAAAGTGATTATTATAAAGACAGCGCGGTGTATATTTTTGCGAAGTGACATCATCACACACGTCTGGTCTGCATCTCATCTCCATGGAAACGCAGCGGTCACGAGGAGAAGGTTGGCTTCGGTCAGTCTCAGAACACACGGTGTTTATAAGGTTTTAAAGGGCAGTTTTAGATGAAGTGTGTGAAGGATGACCGACACACATCTGCAGTTGATCGGTCCAGACAGCCGAGGAATGCCTGTGATGTCGGCGACATCCCGAGAGAATAAAAAAAAACTTGTTTTTGCTCTAAGTTAGTTGAGTTTCTGTTTTCTCGTCTAGATTACCCAGGTGAAAAAGACGTAACTTACTATTAAATGTATTAAAAATGTACTTAAGTATCTTTTTAGTACAATACAAATATACTTTAATGCATTTTTTATACATTTACAGTAGCCTATACGTCTAACTTTTTGACCTGGGTAACAAGTTAACTTCACTAATATGTTGAATTGAATGACACATCCTTCCTACTTTAAATATATCACCTTGCTGCATTAGCCTATTATACGCGCCTCAGATCCCCGTGTGTTTCCCGCAACAGTGCTTCACAGATGCGGATCCATCAGGTCCGTGTCGTTCTTCAGCTGCAGGCCTGTAATGCAGATGTTAAACACATCTGTTATGATGTCAATTATCCGCTCACGTGCTCAAGAACAGCCAATCAGAGACGTGCAGCTGTTGAGCACGTGCTGCCAAAACATGTCAGTGCGCGTTACTGGATAATGTGGATATCAAAAACACGCTGGAAAAATCAATGTCAATTTTTTTTTTTTTTTTTTTTTTTTTTACTAAAGCTGAGTCCCTTTATATGTGCGGTTAAAAACTGTAACAGACGCAATTTTACAGTTAAATACAACTAAATGTTGGCTACAGTTTTTGGAAGTGAACGTTAGAACTTTGGAAAACGTTATTTAAATGACGTTAATAGAACGTTCGATCAACGTTATCTGGTCTTCAATAATGTTTTCAAAACGTTAGCACAAAAAACATTTATATGTAGCCTATCATCCATGCAGCGTTTCTTTCCTGAAACATTAAAAAAAATTGCCTACTTGGTCTAAAGTTTTTTTTTAAAATGTTGCTACTTAAGAATATTCAGAGAACATGTAACATTCAAATGTAATGTTCCCATAGCCTTCGCATAAACAAGAAAAAACTAGGAAAACATTCTTAGAAAGTATTTTTGTTTGCTGGGAAAGGAGACATTTCCTAAATTTCTCATTAGATTATTTTTCATTGCAATAATCCATTGTTTTTTCTTATGTACATTGGGGTTTTATGTTGTTAAATAAATGTTTATTGCATTATTTTAGATGGTGTTTGTGTGTATATGACACTGTATAGTACTATGTAGCCTATATATTTACCTTACCTTGGCTTGTGGAAAAGCTACATTACCCATGATTCTCTCTGTCTCTCAGCGCTGTACCCATCAGCCTTCCGAGTGAAGCGCGGGACGCCAGCTCTGCTCAACCCCTCGTTTCAGAAATCAGTGGAAGACGCCAGCCTTCTCTATGAGGTGCCGTGATGTTTACACATATGAAAGAAAACTCACAAATCTATCCACTTCAAGTTTATCTATAGCACTTTTCACAGTACAAGCAGCTTTACAGGACCTGCTTGTTACAATGTTACAATTATTTATCTAAGTTTCTTTAGGGAGAGATTTAAAGTCAATGTTATCCCAGCTAACATAAATATATTTAGCTAATGTTTGCATTAAGTTATGAAAATGTTATTTCTGAATATCCACTAAACGTTTGTTTAAAAAAAAAAAGTCTTGGTTTTATGAGCGTTAACCCTCTGGTGCTCTTCGCGTGTCGGTCAAAAATGACCTAAAAAATTTTATTATGAATGTAGGCCTACTATATTTTAGTTTGATAATGTTTTTTTATTGAATATTTAGCATTTTTATGGGATTTTATGGTATTAAATTATATTTACGCTGTATTTATAATCCATTTATTCACTTTTTGAGCATAGACCTGAAAATTAAATTTCCAACTTAAACTGAACTGTGGTAAATCTTGAATGCTTTAAAGCACAGACTGAAGTTTGATCTCTTTTCAAAGACGACACTTGGCAGATTATTGCTGAAGTGAAAAACAGCTTAAAAAGGAGAACTTAAAAAAGGTACAGAATTTTACGTGTATTGTTATGAAATTTTTATATGAAATATATATTTTCAAAAACACATTTTACTCTAAAACTGCAAGAAAATCAAAGCCATAAATCTAAACAAGTTGTGCTCCAAATTTGAGGTTGATATCTCATAAAATGAGCTTTCAGTGAGAGTGTGTTCGGCTGCAGTACCAAACGCTTCCACTAGAGGAAATTCTTCTCCCATTCATTTCCATTGCGTTCACACACAGCAAGTGCCAAAACCTTTACTGAGTTTCGGACCACTCCGATGAAGAAAAAAAATCCGATTATAGGAATGTTATACTTTTGAATGTTCTCAGAACAAGTAGAAACATTAAAAAAACATTAGACGAATGAGATTTTTAAATGAACCACATCTCACATGCGTCGTAGAGATCTCAACACTCTCCTGCTATTTTCCCATACCAATATGTGTAATCAAAAGGTTTTAATATGAGCTCATCGGTTTCAAAATAGCTCTGCGTTTATTCATCCAAGACTGTTTTATTTCTAACAAGAACTTTTTCGGAGTGCAAAGTTTGCTGAGCAATGAAACTGTCCCCCGTGTTGTTTATCCGCAGTGTTTAATGCGATTCGCTGAATGAAGGAAGCGATCAATAGCTCAGCTCTTATAATCTCTTCATACGCTTGAGTTTGTTCAGTTATTGAGTTGTGCTGAGCTCTGCAATCTCTCCTGCTGTCAGATGACGAACAACATCTCCATTTAGATCCAATCCCAAAAACAAAAAGAATATTAATATTCCAGCGGCGTGTCTGCATGACTCCGGCTGATATCTAAAGACTGATGATCGGCCTCATCACACGCTCGAGACTGATTCAACAAGACATCAGACTGAACTCTCATCAGATAGCAGATATTCATCATCCATAACTGCTGTTTTATCGAGTCTGCTGACTGCCACTGAATCAATGCCAATGCGAATCAGGAGTTATTACGTATCCATGTGCTTCTTTTAAACTGGCGTTTGAAAGACTGTGGTATTGTCAGTTTGACAGCACTGTCACTATCAGCTGACAACACAACTGGATCTCAATAATCACACTTTGTCTTCTGTAGAGCTGCTTTATAACTCAATCTAATGTCTTTCATAATCGGTGAATTTTGCAGCATTGCCTTATTGAAATGAAACTGAATCAACATTCAAATGAGCTGAATAATGACACTATAGTCTTCTATAGAGGAACATTCTCTATAGTTATATCTCAGTGTTATAAACAAACATTCTTCCAGTAACGATAATAAAACGTTTGTTCAAAGTTGTAATGATGTTCTCAAAAATGTTATTAACGTCATTTATACATCTTTCGTGGAAGGTTTTTTCTGAAAAGTTTCAGTTGGATGTTCGTACTTGTTTCAGAACATTCAAAAGAAACATCATAATTTTTGAAGAATGATAAAATGGAATGTTCACATAACCAAGAAAAAATTTGTTATTATTTTTTTTAAATGGTCATTTTTATGGAAGCTTGTTTCTGCCACTGAATAAAAAAAATAAAAAAAAATAATTGCGACTTTTTTATCTCACAATTGCGAGATATGAAGTCAGAATTGTGAGAAATAAAGTCGCAATTGCGAGATATAAAGTCGCAATTGCGAGATATAAAGTCGCAATTGTGAGAAATAAAGTCGCATTTGCGAGATATAAAGTCGCAATTATGAGAAATAAAGTCGCAATTGCGAGAAAAAAAGACAGTATTGACTTTATTTCTCATAATTGCGACTTTATATCTCGCAAATGCGACTTTATTTCTCACAATTGCGAGTTTATATCACGCGATTCCGACTTTATTTCTCCCAATTGCAAGTTATAAAGTCAAAATTGCGAGTTTATTTCTTACAATTTTGACTTTATAACTCACAATTGTGACTTTATATGTAATTGTGAGAAAAAAAGTAAGAATTGCGAGTTTATTTCTTACAATTCTGACTTTATATGTAATTGTGAGAAAAAAAGTAAGAATTGCGAGTTTATTTCTTACAATTCTGACTTTATAACTCCCAATTGTGACTTTATATAATTGTGAGAAAAAAAGTAAGAATTGCGAGTTTATTTCTTACAATTCTGACTTTATAACTCGCAATTGTGACTTTATATGTAATTGTGAGAAAAAAAGTTGCTATTACCTTTTTTTTTTTTATTCTTTGGCGAAAACAAGCTTCCATTGAAACAAGTAGTAACATTTAAAAAACGTTAATGAATCTAAAACATTTCAGAAAAACTTTCAGTGAATGATGTGTAAATAACATTATTAATGTTTTAAAAACGCTAACAAAGACCAGATAACGTTCCCTGTTCGCTGGGATTATAGGCTACTTGTTCTCTGAACATTCTGAAATGATCCCATAATATTTGTAAAATGATAATAACATTAAAATATCCATGTTCTTAAAAAACTGTAGGTTAAGAGAACATTCAAAAGTAAAGTTTTTTATAACTTAAAGGGAACGTAAGCAGAACATTTTTAGACTGTATCTTTGTTATTTTCAGTGAAACGTCTGGTTATTTCTTCAGATGTTTTGTCGGTGTTGTTTCACAGGTGTTGTTGTCGGGCGCGTACATGGACGCCTCACGCGGGACGCTCCACGTATCTGATCGGGAACTGGCGTCCATGCGAAAGCTTGAGGTTCTGGAGGTCCTGTGTGAAGACGTGATTCCCAGAAGCCTCTCTGAGATCCGGCGTCTCAGTGCGCAGCTGTCAGTGCGTCGTGGATCGCTGCGGATGGAGGACTTCGAGCGCACGGTCCTCACGATGGTGTTTACTGCACAACAACTACAACACACCGACCCCGGCCACCAGAGGGAGCTGTGGGCAAACGCGCTCCTACAACTATATCAAGCCATTAAAGAAGACCTGCGGCCACAAACCACTGGCAATTAATGAGAGGACTCAACACGGAAGTGACTTAATCTGCAATTCATCGTCTGGCCACTAGAGACCGGCTGCAAAAGAGAGCCAATCCCATAGACCTCCATGTTAAAATGCCCAACTTTACAGCAGAAACAAATGTGTTTACAGTCTGGTACAAAATGTGTTTTTGGTCTATATAGCTAATTTTGCCATTCGTGACTATTGTGAGGGGGGTGATTTTTTTTATAACTCATCCGTTTAATTAATATTAAGCCTTAAAGTTCTGCATAATTAAGGGCGTGGCTACTTGAGTGACAGGTGGATTGCCGCTGATGTCACTACTAGCGTTTGTCTGCTGTCTCCACCTCGCTGCACATTTTCGTTTTCTTTCTCTCCGCCCACTTTGGGCTTAAAAAATGCTCTTCAGAAACCTACGGGTGACGTCACGGACACAACGTCCATATATTTTTACAGTCTATGGTCTCATATCACTAATCCACTGCTTCTCAACCGGTGACCACAGACGTGTAACTGTTAGAGATCGCAGATATCAGGGGAAAACAATGCAAAATGCATTTAGTCACGTAGAGCTAGTCAAATTAGACAACAATTGCAATGCATTTTATATTTACTTTGCATAATATTTGCAAATAACTCTAAATATAATATTTGAACTTGCAGAATAAGCAGAATTATGAATTATATATATTAGAATTATATATATATTAGTTTAGATAACAACTTCTTAAGTTCCAGACAGCAACGTAATGTGGGCCGGATCTGGGCCGACATTATGGGGTATTTTTCACAAATAAGTTGGTTTTGACCCGGTGTTAAAGCTGGTTACAAGAGTCTGTAGTTACAGTCTGGCCTGATGAATATGAAATGCATCCTAAAGACTGTGTTTGCATACGTTCACCTTCACGTTCTCTGCATGTGTGGGTCCGGCTCAGTCTGCAGGATGAGCTCTGCTGTCCTTGTGAGGCTCGTCGTTTTTCCTGAGATAATGAATATCCTGATATAATCATTATCACGTCCTTGACCGTGTTTCCCTGTCATCTTCACCTGGAAGTTTCCCCAGCGGCACATCAGAACCGGCTGAGATGTGTGACTCTGTGATGCTGTGAGAATGTGACTGATATTAAAGTTCAAACTTCACATATGACTGGGGTTCTCATTTCACCGGTGTTTTATTGTTTTATTGAACACCTCAGGCAGTGTTTCAGCATCTGCCAGCTGAGAAACAGCATTAACACTGAATGAGATGATGATCCACAAATGATCAAAACACAGTGGATCCTTCCAGACTCACAAAAACTTCCCTGTGTCTGTCTGTGTGTGTGTGTGAGAGAGAGAGAGAGAGAGAGAGAGAGAGAGAGAGAGAGAGAGAGAGAGAGAGAGAGAGAGAGAGAGAGAGAGAGAGAGAGAGAGAGAGTGTGTGAGTGTGTCTGTGAGAGTGTGAGTGTAAGTGTAAGTGTGAGTTTGAGTGTGTGTGTCTCTGTGTGTGAGAAGAATGGGAGAGTGTGTGTGTGTGTGTGCGAGAGTGTGTGGATGTTATGCGCCAGTGGCCCCATCTACAGGGCAGGCTACAGATATAATTAAAGCTACAGATAACTTTTGTGGCAGTAAATATTACATATACCTGTGTGTGTGTGTGTTTTAAGACTTTTTTGTAAGCCTAATATCGCTGTTAAAATTTTTTCCGTTTTCATATGAGATGTTTCTCAGATTTATGACACTTAATGTTTTAAAAATGACACTTATAAAAGTTTTTGAATAATGATTATACACAACTGTATGTTTTTTTCAAACAATTTATGTTGTTTTGTAACTTTTTTTCCTACTAAATAAATGAATATACATACATCGCTCTGGTGATTAATTACGGATGGATGGACAGACTGATAGATAGATAGATAGATAGATAGATAGATAGATAGATAGATAGATAGATAGATAGATAGATAGATAGATAGATAGATTTAACGACAACAAATATGGCAAAAAAATCTAAAAACTGACACCGTTTGAATATAAATCTACATGGCATGAACTTGACATTCATTAGACATTAATTTCATGAGTTTAAATTAAACACGGGAATTTATCTGGTTTAGTTTTTTTTTCTCTGTTTTATTTGGTCATATTTATTTTTCTTTGGGGTAGTTTTTGTGATCAGGCACGTTTTGGGGCGCCACATTCAGGGGTCCTATTATTGAAAACTATCAGGCGGCGTCATTTACAGACTTAACTTATGAATATTAACACAAGCGCATGAGGTAAGACTGACATTTCATTCTAAATACTACTGTGTTTACGTCAGCGACAGAAAATATGTTCATTCCTGTGATTTCCGTCTGTTTTGCTGCTTAAACATGTTATATTTGACAAACGAGTGGCCTCACGACAGCTAACGGCTAATGCTAATTCATAAACACGCAGCCACACATAAAATCGCTTCATTAAAATTATTCAATTTCTGCTTTAAATGAACTGCATATAAAAAATGCGACATTATATTGGGATGACAGTGGCAGACATTATTTATCTGGGTTATTTAGTCAGATTTTTTTTAATCACAGCTGTTGTTGTTTGTGCGTTTGTTTGTTCAGTAGTTTTATTGTTGCCTTTGTTATTGAGAGATTTGATTAGCTAGGTTATATAACGACACAGTCAGTGGTTGAACTTCTGATGTGTGTGTGTGTGTGTGTGTGAATTTGTTATTTGAGTATGTCAGAGAGTGTTTGTGTTTCCGGTTGTTGGGCCGACAGGATCGGTTCTGCTGAACACGAACAGGCACTTGCACATCTGAACAACTATAATCTTTATTCCTGCATTTAGATCTGAGATGTTCAGTTCTGCTTCTGGAAATCCGCCTCCCTGCAGAGTTTTTTTTATTAATTAATCACTACCTAATCAAACACACCTGTACCAGCTGATCACCTGATCATGATTGGCAGGTGTGTGTGAGGAGGCGTGGCACTAAACGTGACCTGTCCTGCGTCATGTTTCTGTTTTATAAGCAGATTTTCTGTGTATGAAATACCAGGATAACTACTGTGTTGGACAACATGTGCTGTTTGCAACCAAAACAAGACTGGGACAACATTTCCCATGATGCAGTAGTAACCATACAGATTATCCAGATTGTGCCTTATATAATATTTTTCTATGCAAAATTTGTTAAAAAGTGAAAAATATTTTTTTAAAACAGTATGCAATATATATATAAAACTTTATTACTAGTGCAAAATCATATAAAAAGTAAAATAAAAAAGTCATATACAGCATATTTTTCAGTGCAAAATTGCTTAACCCTCTGGTGTTCTTCGGTCGTTTCCGACCGGAATTTTTTAAATAAAAAAATGTTAAAAATCGTAGCTTCATCGGAATGGTACGAAACTTGGTGACTTTTATGGTACTTAGTATATGAACACACAAAAAAATTGGGGACATGATTTGAAAAGTCTAAGTGGTCGTAAAAAAAATAGTCACACTCATGGCCTTCGGTCAAAAATGACCGGCCATAGGATATGAATGGGAAAATGGCAAAAATATGAAAATACAGAGGTTTTTTGTGCGTACAATCTACAAATCAGCCACCAAGCAGAAAAAAAGCATAACACAGTGAAGGGGTGAATCTCTAAAACATCAAGAGTGCAAAACAGACAAATACACTCACACACACACACACTTATACACACAAAAACACACGCACACACAAATGAACGTGTGTCATTGCAAAAGCTAATTTTGGGAAATGTGTGAAATAAAAGCAATTATTCATCAATGTAAGGAATAAAAAGCACACAGATATGAAAGCATGAGACTGTAAGCCATCAAGGTTGCAAAATAGACATGCTCACACACACACACACACAGACACAGACACACACACATAGGGAAATATGAGACTGGTGAAACTGTAACAGAGAAATGTGAGAATATGTGAAATCAAATCAATGAATCAAATAAAGGGGAGACATTGGGTCCAAAATGCAAAGGTCACACACTATGTCTCTCTCTCTTGAACACACGCACACACACACACACACACACACAGTGTAAGATCAAACGATGGAATTCTTCCCTAGTAACCTCCAGGCCTATTGCAGCACATATGTGCTCTTTTGATGTGTTTATTAGAGGTTGAATTCAAATCAAATACTGTCAAACTACCCATACTACTTCTGAATAGGATGTCTACTTCATAAATTGTATGAAAATTATGGAAATACATGGTTCAGATCACTCAAAACATATATGAAAATGGAGGCGCCCTTATATGGTCAGTAAGGAAGCTTGGCGTTCCATGCATCTAGTGAAAAAGTTTGGTATGCGCCAAAATAAAATCTTGACTGAAAGCTTATTTTTTGAGATATCAACCTAAAATTTGGAACACAACTTCTTAAGATTTTTGCCTTTCATTTTCTTGCAGTTTTAGAGTAAAATATATTTTATAATATTCATTATAATATAATATTCATTTTTATTAACTCAAACTTTCATAACTTTTTTTCTGTTTCACTTTCATAATTTCTTTCACTTCTACAATAATCTGGCAAATGTCTTCTTTAAAACAAGACCAACCATAGGTCTATATTCCAAAGCATTCTTGAATTACAACCATTTAAGTTTGGATAGTGATTTTCATGTCTATGCGAAAATAATATAATTTTTATTTTATTTTTTAAAAATAAAATAAAACAACCAAACAAACAAAAAACTTGACAAAAATAGTCTTTGAGAATCACTTATTATAAATTAAAATCCACAACCTGAAAAAAAATAGGCAAATATGTGCAAAAACAACTAGAATTCACAAGCCTTTCTACAGAGGCTGTAAATCCATCTAGTGGTTAAAATATGATATTGCATGATAATTATGCTCACTACATCCACCAGATGGCTCCAATGTGATTTAAAAAAATGTTTTCTATAGGCCAAGGATCCACTTTAACCTGAAATACAGCATTAATTAAAAAATAATAAAAATAATATATATATATAAATTTTCTATTATATTCAATGGGAAAAAATTAATCATAATTATTGCATAAATATTAATTATTTTCATAAAATTCTCTCAAAACACAAAAAAGAAAAAGAAAAAATATTATTGAACAAAAATAAATTTCATTGATTTTACTGAAAAAAAATAAAAATTGATTTCAGGGGTCCGGTCACTTTTGACCGCGAAGGTCTTGAGTGTGACTGGAAAACGAAGAACTCCAGAGGGTTAAGAGTGCAATCAAAAAAACTTAAATACACACATTTTTGTCATATGCAAAATTTGATTAAGTGTGCAAATGCAAAATATTATTAAAAAAGTATGCCGAA